CCTCCCTCCCTCCCTCTCTCTCTCTCTCTCTCCCTCCCCCTCTCCCTCCCCCCCTCTCTCTGTGCCATCCTTGCCTTGACACTCACTTCCTGGGAGGGCTGGGCCAGCACAGAAGGCTTCATCCATTCTGCCTTCACACTGCAGTCCTGGCCTAAATTGTGCCTGATAATCGAGTTTTTAAAAAATACAGACAAGCTTCAGATGTGGAACTCCCAAGGTCTTGACTGGTTTGGCCCTGAGAGCAAATGCCTGTATGGTAGCCTTGACTTCCTGTTTACTGAAAATGCTATCCATTCTGTTGTCGTTCTGATCTCCCCCCCCCCTTCTCCTTATTAGGCAGAGCAGGATGCAAGAAGTGAACAAGATTGAAAGTGTGAAGCAAGAATGGTAAGTGGTAAATATTTTGGGTTAAATTGCCTTTTCTGCTTGCATCCTGTATGCACGGGTTTCGTTGTATTTATTCTGTGGAATCCCAGTATGTAAAACGTATCTAGAAATGCTGTAAATAAAATACATCTTACTGCAAAAGTAATTTTTTTGGGGGGGTTACTGTATGCACGCTAGCTATTGCAGTTTGGCCTTGGATAAAATCTCGACGCTCATTTCAAGGGACAAGTCACCGGCAACTTCCAATTGTAATCAGTGGCAGTCGCCCAGTATAATACCTTAATCGGGATGATGTACAGCACACACTCGGTGAAAGCACTGGGGAACTGTGCACCAATTCAGAGTGGCAGATCTGGAGTTTTGAGAGCATGGCACACAGCTGTGGCATCTTTGCTTTCAACTAAAGGAATTTGCACTTGCATGCCAGTCAGTTAACTGGTCAAATATTTCATGAAGATTGCCTTTAAAAAAATGCATTATGGTGCCCTGTGCTAGCGAGGGCAGGGGTGAGGGTTTCTTGACCCTAGCCTGGCAGCGGACAGGGGGAGAGCTTGCTGCATAGCAGAGCTTCTCATAGTGGCCTCCTGCAGTAAACTCGGGCATCTCCAAAAGAGGAAGAATTGGCACACTTCCTGCTTGGCACAATCACCGTTAGAAACTGCACTTTAAAAATAGTTCCTGCTACTCTACTTTATTTTTGCATTTGATATCATTATTTCAAAAATACGCTTTTATAGCTTCAGGCTGACGCTAGTGTTCTAGGGTGAAATGCAACGAGTAGAACAGTTCAGTGAATTGTTAACAATTATGGAAACCGTATCCCTGATTTTTAAAAAAGATGATAAATCCAGGTCATTCTTTCGCAGTGGCAGTTGACTATGTTTATTTCTGTTCAATATATCAGATCTTGCGATGATTAAAGTCTCTTAATTTGTTCTGATAAACTTAAATGTTTTAACAGTTGACTGGTCAGTTGATCAGACACTTGTTTTTGATAGGTCAAGTGGTCAGCCCTACCTGGGCCGTCTGTCTCTCTTTCTCTCCACCTCAGAGTTGGTAACTTCCTCTCGCTCCAGGCAGGGCTATGCAAATCTTTGAGCATGCCCAGTAGGACAGAGCGTGGGTTGTCCATCCAGACATGAAATAGCCTAGACCGCAACTAACTGCACACCACTCTCATGAATATTAAACTAGAAAAACAAACTTCTTTAATGTTAACAGCAAACCCCCAAGTAAAAACTCGATTGTAACATGAAAGACATGTCATATGCAACAAAATAATTTTCTTTAACGTTACCCCCCCAAAAAAACCACCAGGAAAAAGCTTGATTGCCAACATGAAAAAACATAACTTTTCCCTCACAAAAAACAGCAGTGGGCAAATTGGATGCCTTCGCCCCACTGAAGAGAAGAAAGCTTCAGGTAAGTACAATGTTTCGTTCGCCTTCAGTGGTGCGAAGGCATCCACACTGGTTATGTAGAAAAAAATCAGTCAGGGTAGGTATTGATTTCTCATGATTACGATTGACCTCCATATGACCAAGATCAGTTCCCCTGGAGAAAATGGCTGCTTGGGAGGTTGGACTCTATGGGACCCTGCTGAGGGACCCCCCCCTCCACCAAACCCAGCCTTCCCCAGGCTCCAGCCCCCATCAAATCCCCATGTATTTCCCAGCCCAGAGCTGGTAGCCCTCCTCCCCCACTTCCGTTTGCAGCTGTGTCTTGAGAGAAGAGCAGGTGTTCCTTGCAGTGCTGAGGAACTTTTACTTGATTGTGGCTGGATTATAGATGAATTGCTGAGATGGGTGGATTGAATGGACAGTAAGGATTGCAGAACTGGGTCTTTGTTCAGCTGATGGGGGGGGGGGCGGGACGAAGTTGTGTCCTGAGGGGGGGTTGCTTGGTCGGGAGGGTTCACAGGGAAAAGGAAAGGAACATGAATGTGAAAAAGGGTCCTCTGAGGTCCATTTGGGTGAAGCACAAGTCGTTTATGTGTGTGACAGAAGCTAGAGGAAGGCGGAGGAGGCAGCCTGGATAGCTGAGGTTTTGGACCGTGTTTGGAGACTTGTGGGCAGATCTAGGGAAAAGCTCAGAGGTTTTGCCCACCCAGTTGTTCTGCAGGGGGGTGTTCCCTCTGGCTTGGGAAATCCCTGGTGATGGGGGGAGGGGAGGAGCTCAACAGAGAAGGGATTCCATAGAGTCCGCCCTCTCAAGCTACCGTTTCCTCCAGGGGAACTGATCTCTATCAGTTGTAATTCCAGGAGAACTCCAGTCCCCACGTGGAGTTTGGCAACTCTAGGGCAGAAGGCTATCTAGAAACACTGGCATTAGAATGACAGTACCATTACAGTTGTTGTACATATTAGATTCCATGTCAAAAATGAAGTCAAATGAGGAGGAAGTTCTTGTATTTTATTGCCATGAAATACGGAAAACAGTTAGGCCAAAGGACCCATCAAAACTGACTGTTTTCTTCTCAGCATATTCAGGAAAAATGCCTCAATTAATAGGAAAACAATTAGACCAAATGGTTAACCAAAAATTGACAACTTTCTTCTTTTTCTTCTTCATCTTCTTCTTGAGCATATTCTGAACATATTAAGGAAATATATGATATTTTATACATGGACTGACATCATCAAGAAAACAATATTCAAACAGCATAATTGGTTACAAAAGACAGTGGTAATTTGAGTAATAATCCTCTGATTGGCCAGATATACTACACAGTTGTGGCCTCAAGCTGGTGGTAATATTAGGCACAAACAGTCCTTGCTAAAGCAAGTTCTTCATCATTAATTGCTAGATGCATCATCCAAAAAACCTCTTTGTTGAGGCATAGCCTCAACATTGTTTTTCCCGGGCCTAGTACGTTTCCTGTTTCAGGGTTCCTCCACTCTTAAAGGACACAGCTGCAGGCAAAACCAAGTGTTTTGCCTTCTATTGTACCTGATTATCATGCCTTCGCCTTTATTAAAGTGCTCTGAGGTATACTTGCTGTTAAAGCACAAAGTCACTCTCTGTTGAAGATATTTGTTCTGCAAAAATATTTTTTTCCCAAAGACAGTCCAAAGGGGAAAAAAGGAAGTTGTTAATTTCCTATATTTGTAGCCTTCAACGAGCTGCAAGTGTTTTCATAGTTTACTTGTGATTGCACATATGCTTACATGCAAATATAAAAATCCTGCTTGCATTTTTGCTTACTGGAAGCTTTATGTTATGTTATGGAATGATTTTAGCCAGGGGTCATTTTGTAGAAAAAGAGGAGCAGGAGCTCATTAGCATAACTCATTAGCATAACTTATTTGCATATGCCACACCCCCTGATATCACCGGACGTGTGTCAGAAGGCAGCACCCACTGCTCAGGCTCCACTGGACTGTTTTGGATTGCTAGCTATGGGGGGGGGTTGTCCCACACAGATTTGCCCTCACAGAGGAGGGAGAGCTTGTACCTGAATAAAGCTGCCATTGGACTGTTTTGGATTGCTATCTATAGGGGGGGGCTCTGCAACTTACGTGGTTGCTTCTTGCTCCTCGTGGCCCCGGGATGCTGGGAGCAAGGGGCGGGGCATGTTACATGTGCCCGCCCCCTGGGCTCTTTACTGCTGGAGCTCCACTCCTGTGCGCTCCTGTAGGAAATGACCCCTGATTTTAGCATTCTCTCTTTAGGTAAACTAAGACAACGTTTTAAATTAGTGTTATATTGACCTCTTCTTCTGAGTGACTAGGCCAGAAGTTCACAACTCAGTTGCGCAGACCATAACAGATCCTGAGGGAACGACATGTGCTGTGGTGTGAGAGCCAGTGTGGTGCAGTGCTGTCAAGGCTGATGGTGCTTTGTTGTGGTACCATAACCCAAGTTGTACTGGGTTTGGTCTCAGCAACACACACACTAAAGCAAAATAAGGCTTTGTTGAAGAAATTCAGAAACAAGGATTTTAAAAACAAAGTATATAGTTCAGTGGCAGTAAAATGACACAGATAAAACAAGAAAGCTAACTGGCTACTTCTTACTGGAGTCCTAATACAGCTTAGTTGGCTCTTAAAGCAAAGAGTCCTTGAGTATAATACACATAGCAGCACAAAGAGGAAGGGGTAAAACCAAGGAGATAACACTTCTTCTCACTAACTATTTTTATAGAAAACTGCAGGCCATAACCTCCTGACCCTCTCAACCAATCACTAGGCAGTATCCATGGAATCTTCCAGGTGAGAGTGAATTCCCCCCTCCCACACCAGATCCACAGCTGAACTAAGTGAGCCTTATTAACAAGTCTGGATGGCTGACCTTGATGAATATCTGCTATCGTGTGGTGTGACTAGCACCTGCGGTAAATCAGAGAACTGTGGAGTTTCGGCTGGGACAGATTAGAAGATTCCTGTAAGATGGTCTCTGTCTTGACAAGTGCTTGGAGTGTTTGAGTAGGACCTGGGAGACCCAAGACCAAATCCCTGCTCTGTCACGGAAACGAAGGTTGCTAATTCCTTGCTTGAGGAGGGGACCTCCCCCTCTTGTTTCCTGCCACCACTCTGAGTGGTAGCAGGAGAAAAATAAAATTAAAACATGCCCCTCAGACCTATGGAATGAAGTCACTTCCAGGGGCAAAACCTGAAGTGACATCAGTCCTCTCTTGAAGTCACTGAAAACTCTGTGGTTTCTGGTGATTCCTAGAGAAGCTTGATGTCAGTTCTGGGGTTTTACTGAAAGTGACATCATTCTGTTACCAGCAGCTGCTCCCTGTGTCCCCACTGGCCCCCAGTCTCCCGCTGGTTGCCAGACAGAGCCAGGTGACCTTGGGCCAGTTACTCTCTCTCGGCCTAACCTATTTCACGGGGTTGTTTTGAGGATAAATGGAGGAGAGGAGACTGCACTTTGGGTCCCCATTGGCGAGAAAAGTGGGATATAAATGTATATATAAGTAAATAAGTGGGGGGGCCCTCATGGATCACTGCTGGGAAAGATTGAAGGTCAAAGAAGACGGGGACGGCAAAGGATGAGATGGTTAGACAGTGTCATAGATGCAACGAACATGAAATTGAGCAAACTTCAGAGGACGGTGGAAGACAGGAAGGCCTGGTGTGATCTGGTCCATGGGGTCGCGAAGAGTTGGACTCGACTGTGCGACTGAACAACAACAACAAATAAGTGGGCCACCCCTGGATGGCACTTGGCTCCATGGCCCATGCGGCTGTGGGTGGGGGGAGTTAGAACACCAGCCATTCTCTGGGCTGAGAGGTACCATTCTGACCCCTCTCTCCAGGGGAAGGGTCACAATGCTGCCTCACTGTTAAGAGACGTGGTGTTCTGAAGTCCATCCCCCACCTTGCTGGGGAAACTTCTCTGACCCTATTCTGGGACACGGCAGACGTTTCCAGTGGGAAAGCTGTGAACTGGATAGGCTGAGAGCTTGTTTGAGTAAATGTTTCATGGAGCACTTAATTTTTTCTGCTTTGAAAAATTAATAAAATGTCTTATATTGCATGTCTTTGTGCATGCCCTTCTCAAACAGGGCAGATTGTCACGGTATCAAGTTCTTTATTTAATGTTATTACATCAGCACGTATTAATCGTAATGATGCTGAGTAAAGAACTTAATAGGGTCCTTTAATATATCTCTGCATGAAATCGCAGGAGAGTGAAAATACCTTTTCTTTCCCCCTCCTTCCCTTTGAGATGTTTCTTGGGTTTTAAGCCGCAGTGAAGGAAATAGCTTGTTGCATCTGTTCAAACAGCTGAGTGGGAAGGTGTTGGTGGAAATGGAGGTGGAGATCATGTGCCCGGCCCGACATTGATTTTTTTCCCCCCACCCCATTAATTTCCTTTAAGCAGCGTGGGGGGCTGCCTAAATGCTTGATAAGAAGTATTAATTAGGCTTGGATAAAGCCCCTGTTTTCCTAATTCATACCTTCAAAACAGCTGTTTAAATTGTACATAGGGCTGCCTCTTTAATAGCATGAACGGCAGAAATTGGGGGACAGGAAATAAGTGCTGGGATGTATACATCTCCTGCCCCCCCCCCATGTAATTTAAACTGAGAACTGGCAGCTCTTACCAGTGTACACAACTGTTTCAAAGGTATTGAAAGTAGAGGATCTTCCTCCAAGCCCAACAACGCCAAAGTTTTCTGTCCAAACTGTGAAGGAGACATCTGTCCTGAGCAGCTTAAAGAAAACTGGGAGTGGAGGTAGAAAACTGGAGTCAAAGGATGCATGTATAATAAATCCCATCCTTTGGCCATGATTTCCACCTACCAATAGACTGTAGGAGAAAGCTATATATGTTTCCCATCATCCCAGTAAAACCTTAACCACGCCATCCTAGGGTTGTCAGACCCCGCTGGGGGCAGGGGCCTCCCCCCCCCCAGCTTCCTCACCACCAGCCAGCTGGCCAGCAGGGGGAAATCCCGCCTCCAACTGGCCCAAAGGTGACGTGATGACATCACCTGGAAGTGACGTCATCACATCACGAACGTTGTGGTGACGCTCTAGTTTGTGGGCAAAATTTAAAACTAAAATCACCTGCAAACCATAGAGTTTTGCCCAAAAACTACAGCATTACCCCTGACGGCGACGTGATGACATCACTTCCAGGTGACGTCATTGTTTCGCGCAAGCAAAGCATGTGGGGCAGAAGATCCCAGGAAGGAGCCTGGATCCCCCCACCGGCTGCCTGGTAAGACCTGGCAACCCTAGGCCGTCTGCTGACAACAACATACAGAATCCCGGAAGGGGGCATTTCCCAAATCACTTAATTTCTACTTGCCCCCACCTCTATGATTCTTTACGGGTTATATTTCCTCTGAGTAGGAAGCTTCATAGTGAGGACCTGTTGTAAAGACAGTACATGGGACTGCCCGCAGCCCAAGTTGGGATTTCTGCATATTCAGAGGGCTCCCTAGGTAAATAGGGGGAAAATATTAATTTGTAAAAGAACAAATGCATCTCAAAGCAGCCTAAGGAGGAGAGATGGCCTGCTTGTTTCCCTCAGCATGTTGAGAGCCAGATGAGTTGGTTGACGGGGAAATTGTCTTGATAAGCGGGAGAAAGGTGCTGTGGTCCGGGTCCGGGCCTAGAGTGCTGCCTGATTGCTTATCCTGCCCTCCTGTATGCAGTGCCTCCCAGCCCCCCTAGCGTGTCATTCCTTCAAAGAGTAAGCTGACTCATCATCATACTGTCCACAAACTTTCCAGTAAGAACAAGCTGCTCTGTGGCTCTTCTTACCTTATATAGGTTATTTGGCTGTTGTCTTCATGGTTTGGAAGCCAATTCCATTGAAATGGATTGAAGCGGCTTTCCCGTCCCCATGCTTGGGCTGTTAGTGTCATTTAGGGACTGAAATCCTCTTTCATGGTTTATTTGATTTGTGATAGCTTAGTAAGCAGAGTTAAGAACAAGGGACACAAATGGGTTTCTGGCATGATTGGCAGCTGTTCATAACAAGAACGGCTGGCTCGGATTTAATGTAGCTGACTAGTCATTAGTTACATAGCTCTGTTCAAACAGTGGGTTTCACAAACATCTTTAGAGTGGGGTTTTTTTTTTTGTTATTTTACAGGCTTTGCAAGCCGAGAACTGATGACCAAATTCTGAATGGTGCAGAGCAAAAAGGTTGTGATATTTTTGTCAATAACCTTTTCGAAGAAGCTCAGAAAGTTGGAGCTGGGTGCACTGGGGAGACAAGCGTTAAACATCAAGTAAGTGGGTTTCGTTTTGTAAGATGTACTCGTGCATTTCTTTTGGAAAAGCAAAGGACGCTGATGCAATCAGATAAACATTGCAGGTAATTTGGCATAGTATCTACCGGTGCCATCTGTATTGGCCTAAAGGCAGGCTACAGAGCTGCTAGTCTTGTCGCGTTTCCAGGCAGACATCCAAGTAAGGTCATGTCCCCCTGACTATTGCTTTGGGGATTAGTATCCTTTTCCATTCTTTATGATCTCTGCAGTCAAGATGTATGTGGCTATTCAGGTCGTTTCAGCCTGTCACTTGAACATACTAAGATGCTTTATACAGAGTCAGGCCACTAGCCTGTTAAGTTCAGTACTGTCTGCTGTTAACTGGTAACGGCCCTCCAGGGCCTCAGGTGAAGGTCTTTCACGTCACTTACTTCCTGATCCTTTCAACTGGAGATGCTGGAGGAGAATGAACTTGTGACCTTTGTGTCTCAAGCAGATGTTGTACCACTGAGCCATGCTCCCTCTCTTGCTGATAAGGACTGTTTCAAATTGCATGGTCCACATGGCTGTCATCCCAGTCAATCCACTTCAGCCTGCCTAATCTATAGGGTTGCCAGTCTCCAGTTGGAGGCGGGGGGTCCCCTGGTTTTGCACGGCTGGCCAGCGGGAGTAAATCCCCCCCCCCAACAGCAATGTGGAGCAATGTGCCTACGTCGCCTGGAAGTGATGTTGACACATCGGTGATGTTGGGGTTGCACTCTGGTTTTTGGGCAAAACTCTATGGTTTGAGGGCGATTTTACCTTAGAGTTTTGCCCAAAAAACAGAGCGTCGCCCCCAACCTGCCTATGTTACTTCTGGGTGATGTAGGCCTGGCATCCGATGTCACTTCCTGTGACGTTGGGGGTGACGTTTCCAGCTCTCGGAGCATCTTCCCATCCCCCCACCAGTATTTCGAAGGGACCTAGCAACCCTGCTAATATAACATGTCAGCTTGAACTGGAAAAGAATGGTGGTGTGTCCAAAAATTAACCCTCTACAAATCTGTCTTCCCAATAGCCATATTCACAGAACAAAACTGTATCATTATATGTTTTAAAATTATTTCACTAATCCCGTTTGTGAAGTGAGGGTACTTGTAAGAAATTTCATGGAGGGGACAGAAGACGGGCAAGGCACTGAGAAGGAAATTTTTCCTCCTTTCCCTCATCATCCCCCCCAGTCTAGCTAAGGAGCTCCATGCACCAAAGCTGTCTTGTACAGTCTGTGTTTCAGTCTGGCACCATGGCTCTAGATCAGGTGTGCTCCCAGCGTATGGGATGCAGTCAGTATGCACTGTGCCAACTTTTCATGGGCATGTACACTTGGATGTGCATCTGAGAGCTAAGGTGATCTTCCCATGTCTGGCAAGTCTATGTAGCTTAAACATTGTGATAGATTTAAATGAAATACCTATCTGGATATTTGATGTAAGGCCTTTCCCATTTATTTGAATAGAATCATAGAATGTTAGAGTTGGAAGGGACCTTGCAGGTCATCTAGTCCAACTCCCTGCACTCTGCAGGAGCATAGTTAGGAGAATAGTTTGAAAGTAGTTAGAATCTCTGCTGTTTCAATTTATGATGTGATTTATGTTCCTGGTGCCTTCATATAAATTAGCCAGGTAACCCAAAGGAAGTGTACTTATCTGGAATAAAAGCCTTCTTGATTCGTAGGCCCCAGTCCAGTGAGCTTTGCTAGGATTATTGATTCATATGCATTGTAGACAGGGTTGCTAGTTCTGGGTTGGGAAATAGCTGGAGATTTGGGGATTGTAACCCAGGGAGGCTGGGTTTGGGGAGGGGCAGGACATTGGCAGGGTACAATGCCATAGAGTCCACCCTCCAATGCAGCCATTTTCTCCAGGGGGACCTGGTCTCTGTTGTCTGGAAATCAGTTGTAACAGTGGGAGATCTCTAGGCCCCACCTGGAGGTTGGCACCCCTCATTGTAGGTGTCTTGTGAGTCTGTAATCCAGATTCCAGTTAGCTATAGAAGTGCAGCACAGAGAGTATGTCTATACCTCCGATGGAAGGCTGACATAATAACGGAGTCCTTTCCTTAGGAAAGCCGGCGAATTGTGGCTCCAGGAAGAGAGTGAGGGGGTGGTTTAATTCTCAGCACTTCTGCAACCCTGCAGTTCCCTGGATACTGTGGGAGTACTCGAGAAGGTTAAACTGCCATAACCCCGTAGTCATTTGTCATTGAGGTAGCTCTCAAATTGCCTCCCGCTTAAGGAGGAAACAGAGAAGCCGAGCCTGCTCTTCACAACTTGTTTCCAGTCTGCCTCTTAATGCGTGTAGACCTCACTTTTCCAATTATTACTTTCAGAGACCCCTTTTTTTCTTTTCTTTCTTTTCTTTCTTTTCTTTCGTTACATATATATTCCTGTTTTTCCGAACTATGGTCTCCCAAAGCTTATGTTAATAAAGTGATAGGCCTTGCCCTCAATCTAAAAAGACATAATGATTGAGGGAAGGAGAGAGGAGGGCAGAGGTAGAAGAGCGAGATCATTAAAAAAAAAAAATTGAATAGTCAAAGCAAGAGTTACTCTTTCTGGTTGGTGGCAGAGCCTGGAGTGTCCTTTCCAGTCCCAGGGCAACTGACAACTGCGGCAGGTTATTTCTGACAGGGAAGAGGGGAACAACCTCTTTGTTTCTGCTTCTTCTCTGACCAATGGCTGAGGCCAGGATGATCACACTTGAACACATACACATGAAGCTGCCGTATACCGAATCAGACCATCAGCCCCCCAGGCTCAGTATTGTCTGGCAGCGGCTTTCCAGGGTTTTAGGTTGAGGACTTTCACATCTCTTACTACATGATTCTTTTAACCGGAGATGCCAGGGATTGAACCTGGGACCTTCTGTATGCCAAGCAGATGCCCTGCCATTGAGCCACGGTCCAGCCCCAAGGGGATGGTCTTCCCCTTGGCGTGATATTTTTCCCGGGAGGGAGAAGGTACAACTTCCTAGTAGCCTTTATTCCCCTGTCTGGTGACAGCTCAGTTTCTGCAGACTCCTCTGTACTTCATGCATAAGATGAATTCTGAAGGCAAGTCTAGCGCTATGTTGACTGTTCTCTCTCTCGTATTTTGCTGGTGTTCATGTAACTTTTTGGCATATAAGCACTGCATCAAGCAAGACCCAAGGTGGTGAATATGGCATATAATGTAGTTTGCCCAAGAATAAACAAAAGTTTGGAAGGCCAACGACGACCTGATGGAAGGCGTAAAGTTGTGACTGCCAGTTTAGCAACTGCTATTGATGCTTCCTGCACGTTAGAAGAGAGGGTAACTGTGGGACAGAGCAAAAATAAACTGCTTGTTGAAATACCTGCTCAATGGCAAGCGTCCTGCCTTAGGAAATTCCTCTCGCTTAAGGCAAGGGCCACTTAAGTTGGAGGAAGGCTTCAAGCTTTGCTTAGTGGAATAGTCATATAATTCCAACATCATTGTTATTAGCCCTTTTAAATTTGCTGCTTTTGATATTTCTAGGTATTTTTCTAACCCTGATACTAGAGGAATACTGCCATATGAATTCCTTGTCGAAAGCTCCTACCAATGATTTTTTTTTTGATGGACTACATGTAGTTGCCCCAAAGGCTGTATGACCAGTATCTCCCTCATCCTTTTTATAAGTTGTATGAATCTGTTTCTACTTCTTGCTCATGTGTGATCTTGCTTTACAGGCCGATACAACTATTAAGTTATGGAAAAATGGATTTACGGTGAATGACGGCGAACTTCGAAGCTATACAGATGCTGCAAACCAGAGATTCTTGGAATCTATTAAAAAAGGGTAAGTATTCTTCACGTACCTAGTCTAATTACACAAATACACCTTGTACACTGCTTTTATTTGCTATTATGCCTTATGTTCATTGTCCATGGGGTTTTCTTGACAAAAATACTGGAGTGGGTTGCCATTTCCTTCTCCAGGGATCATGCTTGGTCTGAGTTCTCTGCTGTGGCCTGTCCGTCTTGGGTGGCCCTCCACGGCATAGCCCACAGCCTCATCGAACCACGCAAGCCCCCTCGCCACGACAAGGCAGTGATCCATGAGGCCTGGCAGGATCTGGTCCATGGGGTCGTGAAGAGTCGGACTCGACTGTGCGACTGAACGACAACAACAACTTATGTTCATTGTATTTTAATTTCCCCCTCACTGTTAGCTACCTAGCTGGATATCAGCTTCTGGACCCTTGCTCTTTTCTACTGCTTTGCCCCTGTTCTCTATGCCAGATATGAACTTGGCTTTTTTGGACAAAAATGTCTTAATGCTGTGAATTAACACCACCGCTTCTGTGCTGATATCCAGCACTGTGTGATTTGTTCATGTGTTTAAAATACTTGCACCCTCTTTCTGCTTAACAGCAGGCTTTTCTAGGTAGCTAACAGTGAGAGGGAAATTAAAACACAGTGAACATAAGGCACAATAGCAAATAAAAGCAGTAGAGTTGGCCTTTTTATATTTTATTGCATCTGCTATCCATATTGCCTATTTAATGCTGTAGAACAGAACATATGGCAGCCCGTTGATGCACTATTGCTGCACTCTGTGTTCTGACCAGTCCTTTAGAATAGTCTGGACAAATATCCTTGCATCTACAGTGCAGAGAACCAGGGATTACATGGATGAGCTAATG